TTTTTTTCTTAAAGATAGGGTCTTGTGCTGTCGGCCATGCTGGAGTGCAATGGAGGGATCATGATCACAGCTCACTGCAGCCTTGACCTCCGGGCTCAAGTGATCCTCTCACTCAGCCTCCTGAGTAGCTAGGACCACAGGCATGCGCCACCACACCCAGCTAATTTTTGTATTTGATTTTTTTGTAGAGATGGGGTTTTGCCATGTTGTGCAGACTTGTTTTGAGCTCCTGAGCTCAAGTGATCCTCCCGTCTCAGCCTCCCAAAGTGCTAGGATTACAGGCGTGAGCCACCACACCCAGTGTGCCAAGCCCTCTTTTGATGGGACCAGGACAGAGTGCTCCATTGCTCAGCTCACCTGCCCCTAAACCATTTCTTGCAACTACGGAAGCGGAGCTCAAAATCCATGTCACAATTTATTACTAGGGGAAAAAAAGAGTCATTGGAATCACCCGGGATACACAGAACCCCTCTCATAAATGATGCACCTTAGATGAAACCACAGATTTTAATTCCAATCCTCTGCACTGAGCCTTCCCCTACTGAACCCTAGGGAGAAACTTCTCACAGGCAAATGCCTCCAGCGCCAAGCCTTTTGCCACTCCGAACAGGCGGTAAACACCTCAACAGGAAAAGGAAAACTCAGCCTCCCTGATCTGTGCGATTCTGGGCCTCACATTCAAGTCCTGCAACAACAGGACAGGTGACAGATGTCATCTGGGGTACAAGGACCATCTTACAATTGAAAACGGACAGAAGGCAGCCGAAGGATTTGAGGCTGTCAGTGTGGACAACAGGGCTCCAGCCGGTCACCTAAGGCACCACCCCCACTGCTGACTTACTCTGCGAGTTAATCAGAAAGTAGTGGAGTTGATCCCCATGTCCAGAGGGAAGGCGGGGTTGGAGAGGCCAGGACGGAGTGTGGCACGCTCATGGGCTTCTGACAACGATGTGATGGGGGACAAGCCGGGGCGGCACAGCCTGAATTCGAGATCACCACAGCATGATTTTTCCTCTCCTGTAGGAAGGGCCATTAACCTTTCCGATGACAGCCCTGGGATCGGAGTGATGGAACGATTTTTGAGGTCAGCAAGGATCTATGTTCTCAAAACCTGACATCGACATGCAAAAGTTGTGACTGAATTCTGGTGTCCCTGAGAGGGAGACTAAATGCATGTGACAGATATTCTGCAATCAAAATGCCCCATTTCCCAGAGTATCTGTCACAGATTGATAACATCCATGCAAAAAGTTAAGTACAATTATGTCTGTCACCAAGAAACATACTTCCGAACCTGTGACTGACAACTTGCTGGGAGCTGACAAATTACAGGAAGATGACTGCAACAGCGAGCACCACGTCACCTCCTACGGGCAACCCAGGCGTGGCTGACACTCCAAGAGGCTACCGGGAGCTGCACCTTGCATAGGAGGCTGCCGGTCAGAACTCAATGGCTGGGAAATGCTCTGTGGTTTCGGGTGGAAAAATAACCCTTTCCCCCAAGAGAGACAGTGTCAGGGAAAGGTCACAGGATGTGCCCGTGGCCTGGCATCTGTGGGGAGGAGAGTTTGGGCAGCAGCTTCTCCCTCAGGACCACGGTGAGGACAGCCCAGGTGAGTGGGAAGGGCGAGGTGGGGCTACTGGAACGACAAGTTGCAGATTTTCTAGGAGAGCCCCTGCAGGATGGATGTTCACATAAACACAAGATGTCCTGAAAACCCCAGCCACCTGGAGGCCAGACTACGTGTTTCTGACAGACTCTGAAAGGGACAGAATACCACTTGTCATCAGCTCACACCTGCCTACCCTGGACCAAGACATGGTGTCCGCATCGCCAATGGCCCCGGATGTGCTGGGAGGCCCCTCTGAGCCTTCCCTCTTAGGGAGGCTGCACAGCAGCACCTCTCCACTATCCATGCCTCCTCCTCTGACCTCAGCACTGGTGAGTGGAGGAACGCAATGGCTGCAAGTCAGATACAGAAGCAGCATCGATGGTGGCTTGGGGACCTCTGAAACCAAGGCCCGCTGCTCTGTGACCTCCCTGCTCACTGGAGGGTCCTGAAATTCAAGGTGTCTGTGGCCCTAACATGGAGGTCTGCTGAACCTGAATTTCTATAGGTGGGGAGAGGGAATATGACACGTTTCTTAAATAAGGCTTAAGAAACACTGATTGCTCTAATTCTCCTGCAGTCTGAAGGATCCAAATGTCATCTGACCACCCCCAGCATCTGGGAGCGCATCACACCTCAGGTCAGCTTCTTGATGCCACAGAATTTTCACCTTGGGGAAGGTGTCTTTATTGATTTTTTTTTGAAGTGTTAAGCCTAAATCTACCTCCTTGTAACTTCAGTCCACCTGACCTAATTCTGTCTTCTGGAGCCCCCAGCCATCACTCCACCCCTCCATCCACACCTGGAAACACTTCTACTTTCTCTGCTGCTATTGACCCTTAAGACGTCTGCAGCAGGTTGGCCTGTCTCCACTCAGGTCCAAACTGGATTCCTCAAACTCGACACTGGATTCGGGTAACCTCTGCCTGGTGGTGTGGGGCAGTGGACACGCCCCAGGAGCAGGACTGCACTCAGGGCCTCCCGCTGTGCACACCAGGCTGCACTCCACACACCCATGCTCTGACCCCCGCCATTGCACACACGGCTGCTAAGCAAGGCCTCAGTTTGGTTCCTGTGTGATGGAATTTTTTGAACCTTGGAGGCCCTCTCGGCCTGCGCCCATCGCCTCCCATGGTTCCGGCGGGTTGTTCTGGCTGTAGAGGAGATGCAGAGTATTGATTCTGTCATTCAGCACGTCAGCTCACCCTAATGACTCTGTATCATCTGCAAATTTGATAAGCATGCCTCTGATGTCTTTATCAAGCCATGGTTCTGCGGCTTGCTGAGCTACAGGGCAGCAGCTCACCACGGGCCTCCTCCTGGGTCAACCCAGAGCCATTCACTTATCACACTGGGGGCTTCTGCTGCTCCAGTGGTTGTGAGCCCACCTGCCTCCTGGGGCTTTTCCCAACCTCTGTCCCGGCAGCAGCAGTGGAACCTTTTCTTCCCAGCAGAAACACGTGATGCCCCGCATGTGCGAGACAGTGGAGGGGCTGCTCTGATAGAGGCCGGGAAGGTGTTTCCTCTCTTGGCTCCCCTGCCCCAGACAGCTGCACAGAGCCGAAATCAGAAACCCCACCATCCGATCGCACACCCGAGGCTGACTCACAAAGCTAGGCCCAGCCCCAAAGAGGGCCACAGAGATGGCACCGTGCCTCCGTCCCGAGGCCAGCCCTCTCCTGTTGATCGACATGCGTGACATGGGCAAGCAGGGGATGGAGTGCCTGCGGCCAGGGAAATGAAGAGGCTCCGGGTCCCAGAAGAAGCGGCTGCCCTTCTTCACTAGGAAACAGTCAAGAGATGTGTGTGGCGATGTCTGTGTGTGAGATGAAGCGTCACTGTGAGGGAGAGGAGCTCTGCCAAGCTACCTTCTGCTGCCTTAGCCACCAACTCACTGGTACAGCCCAGGAGCATCCCTCTCCCTGGGGACCTGCCTGCTCCGAAAGGACAACTCCAAAGCTGGGGACACCACAGCATTTTCTGCAGTAACAGAGCTTCTGCGGGAAGCTCCTGCTTCTAGAGGCAGTTCCTGCTTATGGACAGTGCTGCTAGAACCACCAGGTCCTCAGGTGATGGCCTGCAGACCATGCAAAGATCCACCTTTTGTCTGAAATAAAGCCGGGAATGAATGGCATTCCAAAAAATGGCAGGGAATTCTTTGAAATCTGAGTGATGACACAAGAAATGGAGGCACATGGTTTTGGCTTTGGAGAAGAACACAGACTCAAGAAAGCAGCAAGATCTGTGACCCACCCCTTCCTAGGTCCTCCCGGCCAGCCTGGGCCAGCGCTCTGCGGGGAAAGGGCCTGCCACCAGCTCCGGCTCAGAACCGCATTCCCCGCCACCGCCACGGCTGGGCAGTAGAGGGCGCTGCGTCACCGCGCTCCCAGCGGCTCGATCCACGCCACACAAAGACCGCACTGGACGTGGTTCTCAGGTTTATGGTTGAGGCTACTTGAGAAAACAGTAGCAAGACGCAGACTTGCTATTACACGATATGATATCACCTGTGTAAAAAGTACACAAGAAAAAGACGAGGGAAATATAACAAAAGGTTATATGGAATTCCTGTTTTTTCATGCTTTCTACGTTCTGCCAATTTTCTACAAGCCTGGATTACTCTCATCATCGGAAAAGACCCACGCAGTGCTCAGGGAACAGGGAGTCGTCCGGAGGGGTTGCAAGGGACACATTGATTGTGAAACTGAATGCTTGCCTGGATTCAGGTGGGCGCTGGGGAGCTCCTCGGAGGTTCACCACGTGCCCACACCACCCCAGGGACTCGAGATGTCCCGGAAGCGCTCACAGAAGACGACCCAGCACAGGCCCAGTCCAGGAGCCTCAGGGAGGGCTTCCTGGGAGAGGAGTCCTCTGCGCTGAGGCCTGCCAACCAAACACACCTCATGTGCAGGGAGCACCGGAAGCAAAGGTGCAGAAGCCAGGAGCAGGAAGGGAGGAGGAGGCTCTCAGCGCAGCTTAATGTCTGGGGCTCGAGCTGGGAGAGGGAAGACAAGAAATCCCCGAGCTGGTGTGAGGCCCTGCAGGCCCCAGTGAGGGGCCTGCCCTACCTTATAGGCTCCTGGCAGACCCCCAGCACCTGAAGCACAAGCCCCAGCCACTGCTGCTCACCAGAGGGGAAGCGATCACGTTCCTTCTCTGGAGAGTGCAGAGACCTGAAGCCTCAAGGAATAAAACAGCGTACTCATCCTTGCTGGTCTTCGATGGAAAAATTTGAATGAATAATCAACATTTCATTAAAAAGAAAAAATCAAAGATACTGGATAGGAAAACAATATCAAAAAAAACTCCCACAAAAACCAAAAAACCCTTATGGTCGAGGCTCACATAGGTGTGCATCCTACCTGTAAATTACTGCACAGGACAACTCGGGACAGACAAGTGGTTTTTACTTGGAAGCATTAATGTACATTCAATTATCCTGCTGCATACTGGCTGACTTAACTCAGCCAAATTAGAATACATTTTATATTGACTATTTTGACATTTGTTTTATTTGGCAAGTAAAACAAAACTGATCCAATTTCCTTGCAGCCATTGTAAACCATAAACGGTACGGCAGAGGTGATAAAGTACGTAAGCCTTATAAACACTTGGGTCTGATGCGCTGCCCTGCAATCCTGCCAGGCTGCTGGTGGCTCAGTGTTCTCGGCCGCCTTGCTTCAGGTGCAAGTGGCCTTGCTCTCACAGTGACCGGCAGGTTTCCGAGAGCACTCTCTCTGCTTTATCTGAGAAAACTGGCGCTCGCCCTTTATCCACAGAAAGTCAAAACCTGCCTGAGGTGGTGCCCATTTCTGGGCCCTTCTAAACCACATGATGTCAGCAGGGAGCAGCTGTAACGACTTCAGGGCAACTGCTCCTGTGGGGGCTTTCCAGCCTCTGCAAGGAGCCCAAACTTGAGCTGACCCAAGTACAGGCAGGCGATGGGCCTCAGCACAGGTGATGGAGGACCCCAACACACAGGTGATGGCCTTAGCTGACCCCCCAGCACAGGTGACACACCTGAGATAGCCTTGAGCACAGGTGACAGTGACCCTCGGCAGTGCCCTCCGGGGTGGAGCTGATAGTGCTCTCGCTCAGAAACGGAGGAACAAGTGCTGATGTGCGGTGCTAGCCTCATACTCCTGAACCTAACAAAGAGACTCAACTGTTCACCCTGCAACTCTGGGAGGCTCATTAGCGATTTCTAACTTTTTATGCCAAATGAAACTGAAAACTCCTTCTAAAGTTCCAGGCAATTCCAGGGGTAGTTAAGTTTAAATACTACTCTTGGTTTATGAAACTGTCACAAGAAAGACCAGATTGTCTTTATAGGGGGATGTCCCAGAGGACAGAGTCCTCAGGGCTTCAGGGCCTCATTACAGCGCATTCTCCCAAGTGAGGCGGAGGCTTGGCACAGAGCAACAGAGTACAGACAGCTGGTGGCATGTCCCGGAGGGCAGGCTGTATTGTGGAGGGCCCAGGAAGACCCACCGGTGACTCTTCTGTCCCCTGACAGATTTTGTTCATCTCTATTCACCCACGTGGAAGCTTCGAGATCCATTCTCATTTACATTACGTCAATCCCTAAGTGTTGCTGCCTCACCGTTCTTGTTTTATTTTACTTTTGCAGTCCCTTTCTCAAGCTTAATCCATCAGTGCTGTTTGTTCCTTGCCCTCAGTTTACTCCTAGTGATGCACAGGATTTTTATTTGACAGGATTATTTTTGCAGAAAGTGTAGCGACTGTTACTACCTCTATTATAACTGAAATCAGTTGCAGAGCAAACAGCTGGCTCACCCAAGTTTCTCTGTGGAGACAATTATTAAAACTAGCATTTCCTGAAAAACTCCTCACTATTCTCTCATACCCAAACTACCCATTTCTTAGTTTATAGATCATTAGAAAAAGAAATTATATGAAAATGAAGAATATAAGAACTCACCTACCCTTCTGGGTTGCAAATGAGTTGTTGGCCAAGATAGAGAAGGAATTTGACCTTAAGGCCAGTGACCCCAACTCCATGGCTACACAACACATGTCTGTGTGTAGCTAGCAGCTCTTTTGAATAGCAAGCCAGTTTTAAGTTGCATAATGTGCAGTTTTAGGAGCCTGCAGAACACGTACAAAATGGACTACAGAATGGCCTTTGCATTCACGTAATGCAAAGATTTCCAAGTGGATTTTTAAAAATCGCCTCTAAAGATATATTGCTTCTACAGTTGTTCAGCAGACACTTGGTGGTGTTCTAAAATGTTGTGCAGGGACCCAAGACCACAGGACAACACAAGACACCCCAACAAGGCCTCACCTGGGAAGGTTGGGGGCTGGGGTGGAAGCAGCTGATGACTGGGAAGGCGTTGTGGGTTGAGATGAGTCATGATTTCTTGGTACTCTGCCCATTCGATACCAGATCCCCATGCTGTTCAGTTCCCTTTAGGAAAAAAGAGAAATCTTCATGGCTCTGGTTAGCACAAAGCATTTACCTGAGTGACAAAGCAAACCAACTAACTTAAAAGGGTCATGGCCTCAAACACCAGGGAATCAATTCTCACCGCCCACATGAAATGGGTTCCATCACCTCCTTTGTGCTCTGGGCATCACAGTTCACATGAGGGTGACCTGTTCCATCTAGGCAGGCCTTCAGGACAAGGCCGCCTGTGTCACCCTCCCCGAGCTTGCCTTCCTACTCCAACTGGTACTTTCCTTGCTTCTCCAAACTTCTTTCTGTTTTGCCAGTTCCTTGTAGAGTATGACGTGATAATCCACATCAAGTCCTTTGTGGAGTTAGGAGAGACAGATAGGGAGATGCTGGTTTTTAACCATGAGATGAATTAGCCCCCTACTCTCTAACACACCCCAATCTCAGGATATAGCCTCTTCCAGCTGTGTGTCACCTGCCGTCGGCCTCATTCTCAGGGTCAGTTTGGGAATCATCTTCAAACTGCAAAACTCGCCCCACAAACCACACAACTAGGAGTGGACACCAAGGGGCTTCCCAGATACCGCACAAGCTCTCCTGTGACTTCCCTCACACAGTTACCACAGCCCTGACCCCTACTACACCACACACTCGTGAGTGCTGAGGAGACAGCCACGCTCCTAGGAAGAGTGATGGGATCATGTTCACCATATTCAGTTTCCAACTTCCCAGTTGCCCCACAGAACTGCATCTTTGGGACCTGATGTAGAGGAATATAATCTCTTCAAAAAATGGAGAAAGACTTATTCTGTGGGAACCCCTAATAAGCTTCTCAGGACACCACAGGAACCATGTAAAACCACAATCCTGTCTTCTTAGATGAGCGATTCCAGTGAGCTGCACTGATTTCTCCACATCTGGGCCATGGCCTCTAGCTGCCAGGCTTTCGAGGTGCTGTTTGGAATGTGAGGTTTCTATCTTCCCCAACTGACAATCCCAAACCCTTGCAAAGTAACACGTAGAACTGTGCCCACTTTTAAGAATAAGTGGCTTAGAGTTCTGAATACTGAATTCTCTTTCTTTGCTTAAAAATAACACTGGAATTGTCTTCCTCTGGAAGAGAACTGTTGCCCCAAAATGAAATAAAACTATAGCCATATTTCCAAAGTGATATAAAGGAAAAAAGGCTTTGGTTTTATCAAGGTACGTACTGGTAAATATCTTTTCCTTAAAATTGGTTAAATTGGTTAAAAATGGAATCTTTTTACAACAGGATAGTTTATAATTAAAGATACACATAGCGACTGAAATTAGATTTAAAAGTTCATTACGAAATTGCTGGTTTCTGCCATTTGTATGTAAATGGGTGCTTCTGAGGTGCCTGAAGTATGTTTATTCTAACTATTTCCTACTCCTGTAGTCCTGTTTACATAATTAGTGTAACCCATGTTGCAAAACAGGATTTTTGAGCGTGTAGGAAGGGAATGATCACAGAGTCCTTCTTAACCACATGATCTTGACACAGAGCATTCCGATGCCAGAGCCGAAGCCCCCAGAGGTGAAACTCTGCATTTCTGTGGTACCTGCTCCCTGCATGCTTCAAGCAAATGCCACAAGGGTTCATCTGCTGCTCTCACCGGGTCTAGGCTATCAGGAAAGGCCCTGGCTGATAAAAAGGCAGCTCTGGGCTCAAATGAACAAGAGTAAAGCAGAGTACAGGCCTGAGCCAGGAGGCTGGCCTCAGAAGCTAAGGAGGAGAGAGTGTCTCTGGGAGCCCACAGGGAGACACATGGCAGCTCCCAGGCCTGGCCAGGGAAGAGGCACATGGCTGAGGGGGCTGTAAACCATCTGCCACACCAAGTAACCGGCACACCTGGATTTCAGTTGACCGAGGACAGTGAACATCTATTTCCTTCCAGACAGCTGGCATCCACTAACCCCCTTTCTGACTTTTGACTTCCCCTCTGTATTTTAGGGGCAGCACCAGTCATGGTTAGTCCTTGAGTTCCCATGGAGCTAATCCTACTTCCTGCTCAGGCCTGGTCAATGGAAGAATTTTCCAGAAAACCGTGACCAGCCTAGGGTGCACATGACCCTACCTAGATCAATCAAGACCAATGAGACTAAATTCTAGAACTTCTTTTGAACTAGCAGGAACACAGACTTGCTCTTGGCCTCTGGACTTGAACCTGGATGAAAAGCAGGTGGAGCTACTGCAGCACCAGGCCTCCTGGAGGGGGAAACATGTCAGAACAGAGCCCAGCACCAGAGCCAAAGGGAGACAGGGAAACCAGAACCCAGTGCCGGCTTTCAAGCTTCCGCTTCCAGGCGTGCCGGTCCTGCTTCCCCAACTCTTCTGTGATGCCAGCCAACAAATTCTTTCTTTTGCTCAAGCCAAAGTGGGTTGGGTTTCCTGTCACTTACAATCAACAGAGCCCTAAGTGAAACCCTGGGATTTCACTGTACTAAGTATTTATGGAGCCGCAACAGAGCCAGGCCCATGCTCAGGGCTGAGGCTACTGGAGAAACAAGACACAAACGGGCCCAGGCCTCAGCAGTTCTCTGCTTACTGGGGAATTATCATGGAGCTGTGTAATATTTATGTTTCTTCCTGACTTGGAGCCCTCCACTGGCTTTCCAGTGTGCTTGGAATAAACTCCAGGCCATGTCCTAGGAGGTCCTGCCAACCCTCGCCCTTGTCCCAATACTCTCCCTGGCTCTTCCAGCTGCATGGGGCTGCGTTCTGCTGCCAGAACGTGCCATGCTCATTCCCACTTCTCTCCTTCTGCTTCTGCTCTGCCTCGAAGGCCCTGCCTTCACATCTGTGCATGGCTGGTTTCCTGACATTCAGGCCTCTGCTCAAGTGTCACCTTCCTGACCCCCTCACGGAAGAGGCCCCCACTCCATCATTGTGTTTCACTGTCTTCACTCTCTGGAATTATCTCATTTATTTTCTCGTTTATTGCTCGTCTGTCCCTTTTCGAACATCAGCTCTGTGACAGCAGGGCCTTTGCCTTACTCATGACCACATCCAGTGACCTTGGCCCCACGGTACAAAATAGGTCCCTGTGACCTTTCCTATAGGGGGAATAACGAGTGTGGAGAGCTGAGGCTGGTGGCATCACAGGGTGTCGGGGAAGGACCCAGAGGAGCTTCAAGGCTGAATGCGCAGAAGGGCAGGGGGGGAAGGGCCCTAAGGTAGAGTCAGCAGTGCGAGCCCAGGCGCAGAGAGGCCGCAGCTGAGCAGGAAGGGCAGTGAGGAGCACTGGGCTGACAGAGGCCCATGGCCGAGAGCCTGGGGGCCACATGGAAATCTCTGGGACCTCATTGCCTGGAATGGCCTGAGTGCTGTCATGAAAGAGTAGCAGCTGAGAGTCCTGTCATTAAGACTCACCCGATAAACGTGTACTGAGGTGGGGCCTGCTTGGTCCGGCCCATGATCCGAATGTCACAAATTGCAGCTTCCGTTGAATCCCGTGGAATAAATTTAATGCACAGCCTCTTCTTCCTAAAAGCCACTTCCTCTGAAGGAAAGGACAACAGAAAAGGTATGAGTTTTCCAGAGATACCACTGTCTCTATTCTGAAAACCACATCCCTTGTCACACCCTGTTCCTGGCAGCAGAAGTGGCAGGTCACCTAAGCTGCTAGACAGAAGGGCTGGGCTCTGCCGCCTGCCTTCCCTGGGGCTGCAGTCACCCTGCTCTGCATGCAGGACTCAACCCAGACACTTCCTGCTGAGAAGGGGACTGCACACCCTGCAGTAAATCCGGGTGGCTTCTAAGAGCCGCAACCACAATCTGCTCATTGCTCAGCCACCAGAAACCTGCACGCTGATGCCCTGAGCATTAACACATTTCACCACATGGACTTCTTTTCTTTTCTGCTTTTTATCATAGAAATCTTCAAACATACCCCAAAGCAGAGAGAACAGCGGAATGAATCCATGTGTTCCCGTCACCCAGTGTCAATGCTATGCACAACGGACAAGCTGGTTTCTTCTCCTCCCACCCCTGCAACTTTGCTGGATATTTAAAATGAATCCCTGACGACACCATGTCATGTCGCCACCAATACCTCAGTAGGCATCTAGGTCACTGTTCTTTAAAGACCGCCATGCCATCACCATTCCTAACAAAACGAACAGAATTCCTGAGTATCATCCAATAGAGAGTCTACATTCACGTTTTCTCCAGTCTGTCTGCATCCGGATCCCCAGGATGCTGAGGCACTGCCTTTGGGTGTCAGGCCTCCCAGACCATCTGACTCTGGAGCAACCACTTCTGCTCCCTTTTCTTCAGGGCACTGATAGTTTGGAGAAATCGGGTCATTCCCCTGTGCCTCCTGTAGACTGACAGAGCTAAAGCCTTGATTAGACTCAGGTTAGGTTTTTTTAGATGCACACGCTGTCCTGGGGCACGTGTAAGTCTAGGCTGTCATATGGTGAGGCCCGGAGTCTGGCTGGGCCATTCTTGTTGAGCTCTGCTGGTGTCGGCCTGGGCCCTCGGTCATACAGTTCCCCAACTGCCATCCTCTGAGTACTTTGTCACCCTCTGATGACTGTTGCTAAGATCCATGCTTTATTAAAGGTTCACAATGGTGATTTTTGAACTCTGTCATTCCTTCTGCTTTTTTTCCTTTATTTTTTTTGAGATGGAGTCTTATTCTGTCACCCAAGCTGGAGAGCAGTGGCATGATCTTGGCTCACTGCAACCTCCACCTGCTGGGTTTGAGTGATTCTCCTGCCTTGGCCTCCTGAGTAGCTGGGATTACAGATGCGTGCCACCATGCCTGGCTCATTTTTGTATTTTTAGTAGAGATGGGGTTTCACCATGTTGGTCAGGCTGGTCTCAAACTCCTCACCTCATGATCCACCCACCTTGGCCTCCCAAAGTGCTGGGATTACAGGCGTGAGTCACCGCGCCCAGCCTCCTTCTGCATTTTTTAGCTAGAATCCTTCTATATATAAAAAATAACTTTCCTTCATCAACTATTTGGTCTCCCTGAAATAAATTTTGTATAGGAAAAAAAAGGATAAGCACATGATTCTTTTCTCTTACTTATCAAGCCTTAGAGTAAGGAGTTGGTGCTTGAGCAACCTCCAGTGCTGACCAACGGGAGGTGTGTGTGTGTTTGTGCTTTTAAGCCTGAGTTTCAACTAACTGCAGCCATTTAATACACGAGTCAGACAGACCTGGGTTGAAATCCCAACACCAACATTTTCTGGCACTGTGACCTTAGGCAAGTTACTTAATTTCTCTGAGTCTTGGTAAATTGTAAAAGGGAGTTAATGAAACCCACCCCGCAGGGATGTGGGTTGGATGCACTGTGCCAACACGTATGATCCACCTAGCCCAGTGCCTGGCACACAGTAAGTGCTCAGTAAAGAACAGCTGTGTGGGATCTTACTGTCATTATTGGCAAGTAAGCCTCTAGCGTGTAATTTATGCCCGTACTTGGTATTGGGTTTCAAGACCTTGCAATTCTGTGGCAGGAAGTAAGACATTCAACAGCACATTCAAATCAAGGAACAGAATGAGGGGAAGTACAGCCCTGCCCGGGGGTTCTTATAGGAGCCAGGAGTGGGGAGCGGGACAAGAAAATCAGTGGAATTGTTTTTGTTATTATATTTTTAGGGGGGTAGGGTCATTTTTTAAAGAGTCAGATAACTTTGTGCGTTCCTCAGGCACAGAAACTGAGGGCTAGAGCAGATCTACCAGCGGAGAGAAACAACGTTCTGAATCCAGACCCTAAACATTGCTAAACATCTAGGAAATGAACCTAGTACTGGAAATGAAGAGGCCCCTGCTACCCACCCTCCTGTGTGACAAGACCCAACCTCAGAGTCCACACTTGGGACGGCAACCTGGGGAATGGGGGGCGCTGTTCACAGTAACTCTGCACCTTCAAAGATTATCAGCTGATCAGATTGGCCTTAGAAGGCGTGAAGAAGATGAGACCTTTACACAAAGAAAACTAACGCCGGGTGTTTCACTTGCTGTTGCCACGCTGCTCTTGGCTCCATTCCTCCGTCTGCAGCAAACCCGGGGTAAGAGATGGAGCCACTAATTACACATGCTTAAGCAGGCCTAATTTTAAGTAAACATATTATACATAGTCAATAGAAATGTGTTCAGTCATGCTAATGAACACAGAGAAAGTACACAGTACTTTACTAAAACAAACAGTCTTCCAGTTTTTCAGTGCTATATGGATTACAGCAAACTATATTTTAAATGAATTACAGGAGTCTCCTGTTTTTGGCTGACTTTATAAAATCAGGGCCTTGAATACTCTCCAATGATACAGAGCTGACCGTAAGGCTTATATGGTCAGCTTGGGCTCCTCTGTCCCCCAGGTAAAGCCTCCAGGAAATGTTGCTAGAACCAGACATGAAGAGGCTCCCTGCTGCTCACCCTCCTGTGTGACAAGGCACCTGGCATTGGGCCCAGGACCGATCTCAGAGTCCACACTTGGGGCAGCAACCTGTGCACTCCCAGTCACAGGGGAGAAACTTCCCAACCAAGACCCCTGGGCCCCACAGCCGCTGGTCCCCAAGTCCAGACAGGACAGAGCCTCAGTGAACTGGTCCAACTAACTGAGAGGAAAATGCGGAATGGAAAACCCGTTGCGGCTCCACGGCACATCAATATAAAGACATTCGAAGTCAACTCACTGTCAAAAAATGAACACCAATGCAAATTTTAAAACTGTGAAAAACACAGGGGAAAAGGAGGAAAGTGATCTAAGTCTTTGAGAAGACTGTAGATCCTAAGCAGAGGAGATAACGCAAATGGCCAACAAGCACATAAAAAGATGCTCAACGTCATTTGCCATCAGACAAGGGCAAACGGAAAGCACAGGAGATTCCATTTCATACCCACTAAGGGGCCTACAATCAAAAAGACAGACAATAGCAAAGTGCTGGTGAAGATGTGGAGGAATTGGAATCTACGGACACTGCTGGTGGGAAGAAAAAACGGTGCAGCTCCTTTGAAATACCATTTGGTAGTTCCTCAAAAATATCAAGTTACCATGTGACCCAGCACTTCCATGACTAGGTAGATACCCAATAGAAACGAAAACATAAGCCCACACGAAAACTTGTACACGAATGTTCATAGCAGCCTCATTCCTAACAGCCAAAAAGTACGAACAACCCAGATATCCATCAGTTCAATGGATAACCAAAATGTGGTATATCCATATGTTAGTATTTGGCAATAAGAAGGAATGAAGTGATGATCTATCCTGCAACATAGGCCAACCTTGAAAACATTATGCTAAGAGAGAGAAGCTGGTCACAAAAGACCACACACTGTATGATTCCATTCATATGAAATGTCCAGAATAGGCAAATCTATATAGAAAGTAGATCAGTGGTTGTCTAGGGCTGGTAGGGAGTGGGGAGGTGAGGGTTGGAGAGAAATAAGGGAGTGATTGCTGAGGGGTACAGGGGTGCTATCCTGACAATGGGTTTTGGGGGTGATATAATGTGCAATAATGGTTGCACAACTCTGCCTTTACTAAAGGTCACTGAACTGTGCATGTTCAATGGATGAATTGCATGGTAAGTGAGTTATATCTTAATTTTTTAAAACCCTATACATTAATATAAAACATATCTGTAAAATGTGCTTATACACAGGCTCTTCCAGTGTGGTGCTGTGGTTAAAAGTGTAGCTGGAGGCCGGGCACGGTGGCTCAAGCCTGTAATCCCAGCACTTTGGGAGGCCGAGGCAGGCAGATCATGAGGTCAGGAGATCGAGACCATCCTGACTAACACGGTGAAACCCCGTCTCTACTAAAAAATACAAAAAACTAGCCGGGCGACGTGGCAGGCGCCTGTAGTCCCAGCTACTCGGGAGGCTGAGGCAGGAGAATGGCATAAACCCAGGAGGCGGAGCTTGCAGTGAGCTGAGATCCGGCCACTGTACTCCAGCCTGGGCGGCAGAGCGAGACTCCATCTCAAAAAAAAAAAAAAAAAAGTGTAGCTGGAGTAAGATGTATGTGAGCATTCTAGTTATTCCTCCAGTTCCAGACGCGTGACCTCGGCTAAGTTCTTTAATACCTAAGGAGTGAGTATGCTTCATTTTTCTCATATCTGAAATGGGTATAATAATGCCCGTCTCGTAAGAGGGGTCTTCTGAAGAGTAAATGAAATCAGGGAGGTAAAGCATTTATCACAGGGGTGAGCATGCAGTAAATGCACACTAAGTATCAGCTCTTATGATTATCAAGTAATACACAAAATCATAAATGACAAAAAGCAATCCAATGACTAAACGTGAAGAGACCATCACGAAAATAAAAATATGCTATACAATGGGGTCTGCTGGTTTCATGAAAATAACAGGTGGGATCTGCGTAGAGACAGAAACTCTGGTTCATATCATACGAAGTGCTAGCAAGAAAACAGCAAAAAATAGTGGGACCAACGTGGGCTAATTATGAGAGAATAAAGTATGAGACAGAAAATAAGACAGAGAATTTAATAAACAAACCCTGAGTCATAATGAAAGGATTCTCTGTATTTGTTTTGTATTCACTACTTCACTGTTGTAGACATCATAAAGTTGGCTGACCAGTGATTAAAAATGAAACAAGTAAGTTAAATTACACCAGAACAAGGAAGCCAAATCGCCAGAGGTTTTCCAGCACCATTTAATAACTCATGTGTGGGTCAAGAAGCTCCAAGGGCTCCAGCACCCTGAAGACGCTGCCGATTCCTCAGTGATTCACTTCTGCTTGGACCTGCTCAGTGGTCAGAATATTCAGTCCAATTCGAACCTATGAATTTTAATTTGCAGCCTTTTTGATTCTCACTTTTCTTGTTTGCTCTGTGGGCCCCAAATGGGCACATTATTGGCTTTGTGTTCTCTGGGCGTCTTTTGATTGTTTTCTTTCTGCTTCCTTCTGGGTCTTGTGCCAAGCTTGGCTTCAGCAACACCAGAGGAAGGACTAAAGACAAACTATATCCAGTTTCACCATTCCGTTCCCCAGTGAGTCCATTCAGCAGGGAGCACCATTCTAAAAGAAAGGGACGTTCTGCTCATTTACATGCCGCTACCCAGAATCCTCTGCAAACTCCTTGGAGAACCCAGCCAGAAACACATCAAAAGCAGCAGGGTTTGTTCATGGGCATGCAGTAAGACCTCCGAAAATGTTTCTGAAGAAAAATGCACATTAAAAAAACACCTAGAAATATATCTGGAGGAAGAAAACCCTCATTGTGATGAGTGCTACTAAAGGATGACTCACGTGTGTCCACTGTCTCCTGAATTGGGATGAAGCCCACAGGCAGTGTGTCCTTGATGTCAATGAGCTTCATATCTACTAACACGTTCCCCAGATGACTCTTGGGAAGAAAGAAAAGAGATACAGACTATTAATGTGAACATGCCTGTGGTGGCTTTGCCATTTTGGCTTCAAGATGCATATTTAACACAATGACTCGTGCAGCTTTATGACAGCAGGTTAATTAGAGTAGGTGACACTTAATGTTCCCCAGTGGTTACACAGGGACTCGTGTGGCCCCCGGGAAGGAGTTTTATCTGCAGAACCTCAAAGCCACTCACTCAGACACAGCCTTGGTGAGGCAGGAGCAACCCAGGAGATGCTTTAGACATAACCCAGCAGAGGGCAGCTGTGCACACACGTCCCGGGACCAGGCTGCCACTCAGCCCTGAGCATCAGATCTCAAGGCCAGGAGGTTTTAGGAAGAGCAAATTCCTGAGGCACTCGTAGGACAGAGATGCATCTAAACCTAATAGGGAACCAATCACACTTCTAAATGATCACCAGTCTGCATACTGACACACATTTCAGTTGCTAGATACATTTTACAAAATCCCAAGAATCATAAACTAACACAGAGTGAAAGTCCTGCTGCCTCAATATTACACGTCTTCTAAAATGACATGCACAAGGGCCTCCTAAAGTTTCTATTTAGTGGTAGTATATGGGGTCCACAGTGCGCAGTTTCTGTAACTGGTGTACAAATATCTTTCGAAGACAGTACACATTCTGTAATTGCGAGAGAGAATTCTTTGCAAACACGCCGGCACTTGCAGCGCACATTTCAAGCTGGAAATGAGCTCTAAAGATATCTACCCTACAACTTAAATATGTGGGGGCACGTTGGAGATTTCATTAAAATCTTCAGAGTAATTTGCAGCTTGGTTCCCCCTCTCTAGTCAGAGCCAGTTAAGGAAAGAATGATGGGCTCAAATCCCAAATCTCTCCTGTTAGGATACTAGCAATGCACTCCACGTGCCCATTTTGCAGAAGTGCCTCATCCCCAAAGCCCAGTGTGAGCATGCTCTCCGTTTACTTGTTCAGCATCCTTGGACAAGCATCTAGTTGGTCAGCCATCACTCTGCCCTGGACAGCAACTTCTGAGGCTGTTGTTCCATCTTGCTTAGAGAAGAAGGGCTGCTACCTCCATCTCTGCACATGGGAGCCAAGATCCCACCTCCACCTGCACTGTGCCATGTCTCTGAAAGCCAAGCAGGGAGTTCTTATCATCTAAACTGTGTATGTTTCCTCTTGGCACTCTCTTTTTCCCTCCTTATCAATTTGTGGGGTTATTTTCTTAATATCTGTCTTGCTTCTAGAGTGTAAGAACCATGAAGACCAAAACTATCTCTGTTCCTACTATAAATACAAGCCTAGCATGGATTTTGCCACACAACAGGTGCTCAGTAATTACTTGCTGAATAAATTAATTTCGGGTACACATTTTTCAACCGGGCCACTCAGAGTCAGAAATCAAACTGGAGTCTGGGTGCTGTTGCTCATGCCTGTAATCCCAACACTTTGGGAGGCCAAAGTGGGTGGGTAGCTTGAGTTCAGGAGTTTGAGACAAGCCTGAGAAACGTGGCGAAACCCCATCTCTACAAATTAAAAAAATTGACTGGTGGTGGCACTCATGCATGTTGTCCCAGCTACTTAGGAAACTGAAGTAGGAGGATTGTTGGAGCCTGGGAGGTTGAGGCTGCAGTGAGCCAAGATCATGTCACTGTACTTCAGCCTGGGCAATAGAGTGAGACACTGTCTCAAAAAAAAAAACAAAAAAAAAAAATCGGCCAGGCATGGTGGCTCATGCCTGTAATCCCAGCACTTTGGGATGCCGAGGCAGGTGGATCATTTGAAGTCAGAAGTTTGATACCAGCCTGAGCAACATGGTGAAACCCTGTCTCTACTTTAAAAAATACAAAAATTAGCTGGGTGTGGTGGTAGGTGCCTATAGTCCCAGTTACTTGGGAGGCTGAGGTAGGAGAATTACTTGAACCCAGGAGGTGGAGGCTGCACTGAACTGAGATTGTGCCATTGCACTCCAGTCTGGCTGACAGGGAGACTTCGTTTCATATGTGTGTGTGTGTGTGTGTGTACATGTATACACACACACACACACACACACACATATATCAAGTTGGGTTTGCTGAGATGTCAAATCTAAATTATATGATTAAAAATATCAAAAGTATTGATATACACTAATAAATATTATGAACCAAAAGTACACAAATGAAACAAATTATTAGAATTTAAATAGGAAGGTCAAAGTAGCAAGTGTAACCTACAACTAGTGTTTTTATGGCACAGTCATCAGGAAATCGTTTCTTCCTCTCAGAACTATCACATTTGCCAACAATTTGATATTCTGATATTCCAGGTAGCTGGGCCTGGGGAAGGCAATGTACAGTGCAGGCTAGGGAGTGGTAAGTGGGACCCTCAGAACACAGAATAAATCTCTGACTGTGTAGGAAGGGTTTGAACTGTTAACCTAACTTGCAAACATCAGCTGCTTTCAGAATCGCCTGGTCTAATCTATCATAATTTTTTTTCATGGCAGTTGCTTTTCCATGTCATCACTGCTTTCTGCATTGAGAAATTAACAACTAGGCATGTTTTCCTGCCCCGCAGATGGATGGGCATTCATCAATATCCTTCTCAAATGTCTTCTACTTGACAAGTTGGGTTTTACAGAAGTCAACTGCAAACCACTTAGTGACCTCACCCTCCACACACTCTACAAATGTCCCTGATCGTAAAACCTGAACATCAGTGGTGTGGCCATTAAAAACAAAGCATAAAAAAACCTTGCATGCATACAAAATGGGAGGCTGCACTGTCAGAGCTCCCCACAGCCCAAGTGTGGTCGCTCCTTACACGGGGCTGCCACTGTACTGGGTTTAATACAGTGGGTCTGCGACACCATTAATTTTGCCTGTTCCTCTCCCCTCCCCCATCTGTGCTCTCTTTCATTTCCTCCTCATAAATATGAAGAACGTATTCCCAATCCTTGTTGAGCAAATGATTCATGCCAAAAGCCCAATATGCACTGACTCAGGGTATTTATATTGTCTCTGGTAGCCAGTATTTGCCAGTATACTGTAATTATTTTTGACAACCTTGCATTTAAGGTAGCCACAGATAACCAACTTAATATTCAAATGTTCATAAATCCTTCTGTTTAATATCCTCCCTACCTAATCTATGTACATTATTATTACAGGTAATGCAGAAAGTACAGGGCATGAAAAGTGCAATTAATCTCGATCCTTCCCCAGGAAGCAATGTCACTCCAAAGCCAGGTTTCTGTATTAATAGCATTATTGGGGGAAAGGAATTTAGGTTCCAAAGGAGTCTCCCAAAACTCCTACCTTGGGAGTCTCAAGTCACCTAATTAAGAATCTGTCCAGTCTTGAGATCCCACATCCCTCCTTTACAGCTGTAAAAAATGATGCTCTGCAAAGTCTTGGTTTGGACTACAGGGCCAGCACAGACTGGCTGTAACAGATTAAAATATTCCGATTCCTCCTCCACTCCTGAGCTGGCAGGTGGGCCCCTGCCAACTGCTGGAACTCGATCGTTTGGATCCCACTATTGGATCCATTCATTCTTTTTCCAAAAACAGTATGCACCATGCACCTATCTCCTATACTGCTTCGAAAGCGAGATAGAGGCTTTTCACACTGCCCTTGTCCTCTTCTTACATCCCTTCATCACACCCAAGAAAAATCTTTTTAATGTTCAACACATGTTGACAAAATCAATGGGTTTTCCTTAATACACTTACCCATGACACTCAATGCTAAAAAGCCCCAGTGACTTCTCTTTGTCACATTCAGACCTGTCACTGTCCCTACTCCAAGGGATGCAGGGACTCTGCTAGCCCAGGTACCAATACCCCATAGTGTTTTTGATTTCATGCAATGAAAACAAAACCAAAAAATGATCACAGAGATCATGGCTGTCCTCAGGCCAGTTTTAACTGAGGCCTCTTCGGCCTCTATTCATTTTTAACTGAAGCCTCTACTCAGCCTTCAGCCCTCTCCTGGGTGTCTCAGGCTGCTCAGTGAGCTGGGGGACCTGCAGGGACTCATTATAAGCTCGCAGTGCCCTTGTCCGCTCTTTAGCCCTGCCACCTTCCTGGTATTTAAAATACACTCAAAAGCCTGAACTGAAAAGACTTCGAGACTTTTGTGTCAAGATCTTCCCTGACTCCATTATAAACTCTGTACTTTACGACGAGCATATATTGCTCTTGTGATTAGGGGAAAAAAATAAAGCAATGACTTTTCTCCCAGTCCTGTTCAGAATAATTCTCCTACCCAAGAATTAACCACAAACAACAGGAATAGGTGGCAGAAAAGAGTACAAGCTGGAGAGCCACATGATGGTCGACATTCAGAAAACACCAAGGGGACACGCAAGGACCCTGTGATGGGACCCTGGGCCTGCGGGGCCAGGTGGCAGAGAGGAGGACTAACGCTTTCCCCCTTTCATGCTGTTGAATGAGTATGTTTGTTGTCTGGGTTCAGTTTTTTTTTAACTGCAAATAAATATTACTTTTATAATATAATTTATATAAATAAATCAATAAAAATATTCCCCAAAATAAAATTTACATGACAAAGAGACAATAACATGTGGCCAAAAATAAAATGTTAGCCCTGAAAATGAAAATCCCAACTCCTCCCTATTTGGGGCTGGGGAAGAGAAGTAACCTCGAACAAGCACGTCACCTCTTGGATCTTGGTTTCTTCAATGGAAAGGAACTTCCACTTGTAGAGATTATCTGGGGACAGAATGAGGTGCCCAGGGCAGGCCTTGTACAGAGTAGATACTCACCAAAACTATTTCCTTTTTTTCTAAGCCATCTATTAAAATACCTTATTAGATGTTAAAAAAAAAAACAAACAAAAAAACCTTAGTAGGTGTCTTTAAAGTTTCCTAATTTACAGGTGCAAGTACTTTAAAAAAAAAAAAAAAAAAACCCATAGTAAGAGAAATCTGCATGAGTGGATACTTACCTACAAAAATAATGAAATGCAATATGTCACACAGAGACTCAGAGAGGAAACGTCACTGTGGAAGCAAAGGCATGATGTCTGTGGATGGGGTGGGGTCACAGGGACCCTCCCTGAGCCAGGCTGCCTTTGCTGGCCAGCGTTAAATCCCGCTCCACCGGAGAATTCTCACTGCCGCACTATCCTGTGATTTGTTGCTTGGAGGAAAGGTGGGCAAATGAGAGCTGGGAGAGAAATTTCCTGGTTTCCTTTTGAGAACACAATTGAATGGAATTCACGGTACACTTGGGTACGTGGTTAATAATACTGTTAATAAATGAAACAACAGTGCTGGCTGCCGATTCTACCCAGTTCACTAAAACCACAGATAAATTCATATGGCAATGAAAATAAACCACAACAACAACAAAATGAGGAAATTCCAAACAGGAATGTAAATTACTTGTGCTCACTCAGCAAATGGAAACTACAACTAGACTTACATTTTCTTTGGAAAATGATCTTGTGAAACACAGGTATCTGGTAACCTTGGATTTAAATAAGCCGTCTTTCCAGAGGTCAGCATCCACACCATCTGCTGTCTGTGCAACCTACACCGGAGAGACAGATAAAAGGATCGCAGGTAAGGTAGGAAGGAACCGAAGCTGTGCGTGGGCCACTTCTTTCGTGCCTGTTCCAATTAACACCAGCCTGGGATCTCCCGGCATCTCATTAGTTCATTTCACTAGGCACTGGGATGAGATTTTCCAAAAGGGGAAAAGGGAGAGTGTGAAAAATACAACTTCTAAAAATACTGTCCCTGGGGAAGCCATTGATTAAAGACACCCTGACAGAAATGGCTCTAATGAGAAAAGAGCAACTTTTGTCGTAATGGACCAAAAAGGGATTGGCTAAGTCAGCACATTAAGTGGCTTTTACCACTTACTTGGGGGCGGTGGGGGGGATGGTGCAGGGTGAAGAAAGGAGCCCAGTGGGTGTGATGAGCCACCTGTGGGGGCGCTGCCTGTGGAGAGGGTGACACAGCCTCCTGCTCTAGGGCCCTGGGGCCAGCTGGGTGCTTCAGTCAATGGGATTCTCCTCGGGGCTGGGTGGGAGGGAGGGCGGAGACATTTCACTCCACCCTGCGTCCTCTCGGTACAAGCCTGAGAGTGGTGTTCAAAGTCAGAAACTGGATCGGGATATAGAAAAACAAAACAAGACTCACTGGGTTCCCTGTTTCTAGTCTCAGTAAGAAGTCATTTTCTCATCTGTAGCTGTAGAAATTCTCTACTAGGAAGTGTCTGAGAATGACGCCAGCCAGACTTGATCTGAGTATCGAAGCCCCTGTGACCTAGACTGGGGCTGGGCTGGGGGATATTGACATGAAAGACCAGGCTTTGTGGGAGAGAGTGCAAAGGAGATGGAGAGGAGGAGGAGAAGGCTAGAAGAAGGTGGTGCTTTCTTCCTGTTTCTTTCCAGACTGCTCTGTGAATCGCTGGTCAGGGCTTGGTCTGCTTTCCGACTCAGCCTCCCTGTGAGAGTATGAATCAACCTTGCACACCTTCCTTCAAGCACCGCAAAGGGGAGCATCCAGGAAGACTGAGGAGCAGCGACCATTTTGGGATAAACTCTGCAGGAGGTCTCTGAGCAGTTCACTTTCTGACTCCTTCTGGGTTGTCCTTTTGAGCTTTAGACTTTGGGATCCAGTCCTTGACCTGACAAGCTCCTGCCCATCCTGACAAACTGCTGGAAGTGCCTCCATTCTTCACACAAAACTGCCCTGATTCAGCCCCATCCTGCACACTGACTGCAGGCTCTACGCGGGCCCCACGGCACATGGATGGCCTCTGCCTGTCACACGCTCAAGGCAGAGGCGGGAGCCAGGACCCCAGCCCAGTGGGCTCAGGCTCCCCAGGACATTCCTGGAGCCCACCACAGCCACACTCTCTGAGGCTGCCTCAGAAAAACCAAAAGGCCAGGAGGTAAAAGAAAAAAAAAAAATCCTTGTTTTTCAAACCAAACAATTGTAAATTAGCAAATATAACTAAAGGAAAAGAAAGGCCCTTATGATAAAGATGCAAATATATTTGACCTGAAAGCTGAAGGAGGAATGGTATGGGGATAATTTTAGGAACTATTTGCTCCAAGTATGTCACCCCCACAGATAGAAACAGGATGGAATGGGGGTCAGGCCTTGTGAGCATTTTTTCCCATAATGGTCACACATACAGTTTCTCGGGAAACATGAGATTTAAGGCAGTGGTCCCAGCTCCTACATACCAAGGACCCCCTATGCTCATTTTCTCGCATGGATTCCATGTTTTGAAAGATTTTTGTCTCCCAATGCACTTTTTACTGGATTTCCTCAATTCTAGGATGCAGTCATTTGGGGAACACCCCTTCACACAAAAAAGGCATAGTACCATATCCAAACACATGCATCTGTTTTACGATGCATCCCAATTTCAGAACCACTAAAATGTAAAAATAAAGGATGCTCTAAACAAAGGGAATAAGGGGACCTACACGGTCTCTCTATAATAAATGCATACTTTCTAAAAAACCTTCAAAAACGAAACTGTCTGCAGGACACTCCAAGGCTGTGGAGCCACAAGCTGCCTTGGAAGACAGGGAGCTGTGTCTTTAACCTTCCAAGAGACAAGGGAGTCCAGAAGGGCTTGTTTGGATATCTGGAAATGCCACGGAGGGGTGGTGTGCATTCTAACCTAAGGCTAGAAAGGTCTCCAGGACTTGCCAGTGATGGTTCTCCCCACCCACCACACTGCTAGAGCTGTCCTTTTTCGGAGTGAGAAATGAAAATGTAATGGGGGAAGCTGGCAGTGTGGGCCCCTCTGTTTGAGCCCGCGTTTCACTGTTTGGGCAGTTAGAGCCCCCCAGTCCTTGTCTGCGAAGCACTGAAAAAGGATGACCAAAGGCCCAGCTTTGACCTGGGCCACAACTCATTTGCAATGAGGTGGAAATGTGTAAAGGTATAATGAGGGGCCCAGGGAGGTAAGGTGGGAAGAATGAGAGAGAGAGGGAGAGAACCTCCCCTAACCTCCAAGGAAGGCGGTGTTGGGCAGAGAAGGGCTCTGGAACAGTCCCGGAGGTCTGGATGGTTCAGGGACCCACAGGACCAGGTACTGGATGAGGAGTGAGATGTGAGTTCCTGGCTCCTTGAGAGCACTGGGAAGGCGGCCCTGGTGGAACAAGGAGGGTATTTCTGGCCTGTCTTCCCTACGTCAACAAGATGTACCCAGAGGCTTCTCCCCAACCCAGTCACATAAAGGTGCCTAATAACCTAAATTCTTCCCATCCCAAGTCAGGAGAGCTAATGATCTGCAAGATAAATGATCTATCTGTGGGCTGAAGTCACAGTGCCAAGAGGAGCCCTCATGCCTGACTCAAGGCAGGGTCTACCTGGCGGTGCCCACGCCCTCCTGGTGGCGCTGCAGAAGCTTACAAACTCAGCAGTCAGCCTCAGGTCCCAGCATCAGGAAGCTGCGGGAAGTGGGGTGTGGGGTAGAGGACCAAATGCTTTGCGTGCAGCAAGAGCAGCATGGAATTCAGAGGTGGACCTGAACTTGAGACCCAATAGCTTAAACCAGTCCTGTCCTCCTCTGCAAAGTGGACACGCTGCCTTTCCCTGCGGGCATCACTGCCAGGGACACAGGAGACCACGAACATGCGAAGTGCCCGCCTTAGTGCATGAGCACTCCAAAGACAGTGCTAATGTTTTTAAACCAAAAAAGAGGGCATCTGCTCCAGCGAACCAAGCCTTGAAAGTGATGTCAGGTCACATCAGGGTTCAAAAAGTCCTCAGTTGTCCTGGGGCTCAGCGCCAATCTCTGGGACCAAATCTGGTCTTTCCAAACACAAATGATATACTTGTACGAGGAACATCTGCCCTCCCCCTGCTATCCCACCCTGGACTATAAGCTTCACAAGGACAACGGCAGTGCCTGTTCTGCTTGCCATTTTACCCCCTGTGCCAAGCACAATGCCTGACACGGATGGGTTCCATCAAACCTTGTTGAAAGGATAAATGAATGAGTCCACTGTGGAATCAGGGCGGTGTGAAAGCCACATACCCTGCCAGCTACCCGAGTAAGGTCATGGGAAGTTTTTCAAATGAAATTTCCGGGATTTAATCCATTGAGCTGAGTGAATCCCCTTCAAAATCACCACTCTGAGGCACACAGCCATTTCAGCACGGAGGCCACCTACTCTTTTGGTTATCTTGTGTGTTTGCTGCCTTGTTCCCAAGACAATTCGATGTCTGCTGACTGCAGAAGCTTCAGAGTCTGTTACAGGGCCTCACATGCACATGTGCACAGGTGCACGCACGCACATGCTCTTGCACACTCACACTCACACATTCTCACAACCTCTCTCCTAGCATTTCTTCCCCGGGAGTAGGAGCCGCCTCTCAGGGGGAGCAGGAGGGCCCTGGGGCTAGGCAGTGGAGGACTGTACACATGGTTTCTCTCTCTTCCTGCCAGGATTCTTCTAAACCAACAGTCAAATGGAGAGTGCAGAAGCCTCCACAATGAAGAGCGAAATGGGAGAAACAGCACAAAGGCCTGGCGCTGCGGAAGGCGGAAGGCAAGGGATTTAGCCAGTGGAGGGGTTGTGACCTAAGGGGCCCATGGGAGCTGATACTGAGCAGAGGCTGAGGATCCAGAATCACCAGACACCACTGGGGTAGGGGCGGGGGAGCAAGTGCAAGTTTAGGGCTGAACTGGGTGGACTGAAACAAGTTCATAAACAAAGTGGTTAGACTCCCAGGTGCCCACCCCCGTTTCAGGTGTATTTTCTGCAGAAAGGAACCCAGCACGGGCTCAGGACTCTAGAACACCGGCAGGTGGGGAAGGAGGTTGGAGGTCGGAGGAGGTGGGGGAGGAGGTGCAATTCAGAGTGGAAACGAGGGTAACTGAGTAACCATGCGTGCACACTGAATGGCAATGGCAGGCCCCTCCCCGCCACCCGTGCTTACCCTCCTTCCTGCTTCCAGCCGCCTCCCCTGAACACTGGACACTGAGGGCTTTGTCTATGGAGAGTGCCAGGGTGGACCAGCCCATGATCCCTGAGCCAGCTCCCTGCTCGTCGCCCCACTGTGTAGCACACCAGCCAGCAGGCCCCCCACCCACAGGGCTCCAGCCCATGAGCTGGTGCCTCCATCTTAAATCTCAACCCACAACAAAGGGTCACCAGGCACTGGGGACAGGCTCAGACATGACAGAAGGGCCCAAAATAGAAAAAAGGGAGCTTGAAGGAAGCACAGAGAATAGGGGGAAGCAGTGCCGGCTCAGGACAGAGAACCCAGTTTGTAATTAAATCCTCAGAGGGACGGGTGAATAGACTGCAAATACCAAACAAGAATAGACAGTATTATGAAAACCTTTTTAAAAAGGAACAATTTGAGGACAATATAAGGAGACTAGAAATTATAAACACTGGAAGAGAAAGCTGAGAAAATCTTCCTGAAGGTAAAGTACAAAGATGAAGAGATCAATTATAGGAATGAAAACTGAAGGGTCAAGACAACATCCAGCTAACAAAAAGTTTCAGAAAGAACTTTTAAAATAAAAAACAGAGGGGGGCGGAGCCT